TGTGCCTCAATTATCACAGCATTTACTATCCATATATCAGCTTTGTAAAGATAACAAATGTAGATTCATTTGTGATGAGTTTTGTTTCTGGATCTAGGACAAGATCACATGGAGCATCATTCTTCAGAGGCTGCGTAGAGAAGGCCTCTATCCCATACCCTTTCACATTCCACAACATCTCATCACTCAAGCACAAAAGCATAATGCATCTTTTTAGCAACAAACCTGCTATCTTGGCAGTCAAGTCAAAATAAATTTGTGGCACCAAAGATTAGGACATCCTACCAACATTGTCACTGCTGCAATGCTTAAACAATCACATATTCCTATATCTTTAGATCATGTGTCTTCTGTCTGTAAATCTTGTTTGGAAGGCAAATTTGCCAAGCTTCCATTTTTGTTTCCTGCAAATAAAACTGTCCATCCTCTAGAGGTTATCCATAGTGATGTTTGGGGTCCTTCATCCACTGTTTCCATTGAGGGTTACAAATTTTATGTAAGCTTTGTGGATGAATGTACCAGGTTTACCTGGATTTTCCCATTAATGAATACAAGTGAAGTTTTTGGTGTTTTTGTTAATTTTCACAGTTTTCTGATCACTCAATTCTCTGGAACTGTGAAAGTGTTTCAAAGTGATGGTGGGGGTGAATACTCCAGTCATAAATTCAAACACTATTTACTCCAAAAGGGTATCATTCATCAAAAGTCATGTCCCTATACTCCTCAACAGAATGGTCTTGCTGAAAGGAAGCATAGACACATCCTTGAAACAGCAGTTACTCTCCTTCAAACCGCATCCAAACCACATAAATTTTGGTTTCATGCTTGTGCTGTTTCTGTTTATCTTATAAATAGAATGGCATGTCACACACTACAAATGTCATCACCATTTCAGTGCTTGTTTGGAACCTCACCATCCATATCTCACCTTAAAGTTTTTGGTTGTGCTTGCTTTCCGCTTTTAAAACATTTGAATTCTAGTAAACTGCAACCTAAAACTTCACAGTGCATATTCATAGGCTATGCCGGTCAGTATAAAGGCTATCTTTGTCTCAATCCTCTTACTAACAAAATCTATGTGTCTCGACATGTTTTATTTGATGAGACTACCTTTCCTTATTCTTCCATCATTACATCCAGTACATCACCACGCATTCCATCTCCATCACTACAAGTACAACCACATGTTCTTCCTTCATTAATCAATTCTCATAATACTGTAGTTGCACCAATTCCACCTAAAGCTCCAGAGTGTTCACCTTCTACCCCTACTAATGCCTCAGAGTGTTCCATGTCCACCCCACTTACTAATTTAGGACTTGTGGAATATCATTTTTCTCCTACATTACCTACTACATTACCTGCAGAACCTACACAGTCCTTGCTCCCTGATGATCCAAATTTTCAACCTGAAAATCTGCCAGTTGTCTTTCCAATACCATCAGTGAGCTTGCACCCTATGCAAACTCGATCTAAGAGTGGCATCTATAAGAAGAAGGTGTTTTCAGCAACAGTTAAGTCCTCTATCCCAGTTTCAGAACCTGCAACTTTCAAGTCTGCTATTAAAATTCCAGAATGGGTTGCTGCTATGGAAGATGAAATCACTGCCTTAAAATCTCAGAATACTTGGTCCATTGTTCCATTGCCATCTTCTAAAAACCTAGTCGGTTGTAAATGGGTCTATTGAATCAAAACAAATCCCATTGGATCAGTGGCAAGATATAAGGCCCGGTTAGTTGCAAAAGGTTATAGTCAAGAAGAGGGTGTGGATTACAGTGAAACTTTCAGTCCTGTAGTGAAACCTACCACTGTTTGGTTGATTTTGGCATTAGCAGCTCAGTTTCAATGGTCCTTGCGGCAACTGGATGTGAAGAATGCATTTCTTCATGGTGATCTTCATGAAGAAGTATACATGTCTCAACCACAAGGCTTTGAAAGTTCAGTTCATCCCTCCAATTATGTGTGCAAACTTAATAAGTCACTCTATGGCTTAAAGCAAGCTCCTCGAGCTTGGAATGAAAAATTTACAAGTTTCTTACCAGGATTGGGTTTTAAAGCTTCTCTAGTAGATCCATCATTGTTTGTGAGGCACACTTATCTTGGTACTGTGGTTTTTCTTTTGTATGTGGATGATATCATCCTCACTGGCAGCTCATCTCAGTTGATTGATGATGTTTTCCAAGCTTTAGCCAAGGAGTTTGAAATGAAAGATTTGGGTCTGCTTCATTATTTCTTGGGGTTACAGATTACATATCAGCCTCATGGTCTCTTTGTTTCACAAACTAAATATATCAAGGATCTGCTAGAAAAGGTAGACTTGCAGGATTCCAAACCTTGTGCCACACCATGTTTACCCTACCACAGGTTGTCTAAGACGGAAGGGACTCCTTATCACAGTCCACATCAATATCGAAGTATTGTGGGAGCCTTGCAATACTTGACATTTACAAGGCCTGGTATTGCCTTCTCTGTGAATCAATGTTGCCAGTTTATGCATAATCCTTTGGATTCCCATGTTGTAGCTGTCAAGCGCATCTTGCGATATCTCATTGGCACATTGCATTATGGTCTTCAGTTTCATACAGGCAAGCTCCAATTACAGGCTTATAGTGATGCCGATTGGGCGGGTGACCCAAATGATAGATGATCGACTTTTGGTCATATTGTATATCTTGGTTTGAGTCCTATATCTTGGGCATCGAAGAAGCAACACACGGTTTCCAGATCATCGACAGAAGCCGAATATAGAGCTTTGGCAATCGCAGCTGCTGAGTTAGCATGGATACGGCAAGTCTTGTGTGATCTGTGTATTCCAGTTTTAGTTTTAGTTTCGTACACGGTTTTGAATTTTACAGACCATGAGTTAATTGTAAAAATCTATCCCCATAAACTGAAACTAATTTTGAGCTCTGTTCCCAGAAAAAAAAAACATGTCGTGATATGATTAGGTTAACCGTAGTTTTTGAACAAGAAAAACATGTCATAATATGATTGGGCATATTATTATGAAACTTGATTGATCTAGAAGGAAAAAGTTGAAGAGGACACAACTTTTAATAATTGAAAAAAGAGATAGGGTACTCACCGTATCTTTTTTGTGAGGATTCCTAATATCCTTCAATTCTGTTCGTTCATTGTATATTGTGTGGTTAGTTTTCGTCAGATACTGTTTGTGTTTATTTTAAATAATATAATTTAAAATAATTTATGACCGTACGATGTACGATGAAAGAATAAGATTAAAGGATCCCCGGGATCCTCGCTGTCTCTTGAAAAAAAATGGAAAAAGTTTGCCCCGAAAGGGCTTGAAGGCCATGACTTTAGAGAGTAATTTAAAGATCTCAGATTTGATATTTGAGTTTACTGAATCTGTTGGACCAAATAATATCTTGTGTAACTCTTTAAATTTAGCAAGCAACAACGTTAATTAATTTGTAGAGGTTGTTGAATATGCTCTAACATGTCAAATGCAAATATCAATTTCGTCCATATTTTTTTTATATATTTTTTTCTCTATTTTATAATTGTACGAGGAGGAAAGCTCAAAACAAATTCCAGCGATGAAGTTTAGGGTGAATAGGAGTTGCTTTCAAGTTAAACTATAGTTCATTTGTTACTTGCATTAGCTAATTAATTATGAAATTCTTTTCATGGTTTGTGCAGCATTTCAAAATGCCTTTATAAAACAGAAAATTAACTTAACTAATTAACAAAAAATTGGTGGCACATTTGCACAAAAGTTGAAGTTTAAATGGAAAATTGTTGAAAACAAAACACTACAACAAAGTTAAGGTCTTACGGCTTGTGATCTAAGGAGTGTTTTTAGTGTGTGCTGTAATCCAAATGATGTGGTTATTGTCAGAGCTATCTCTGAGATTTTGGGGGCCCTGTGCAAAATTAATAAAGGGGCCCCTATTTAAGATAGTTTTTAAAAAAAGGTAGGACAATATATTGACGCTAAAAGGTAATCACTTAAATTAAAATAAAGTTTAGCACTCATTAATTGCAAGTTTAAAAATGTCATTAATAATAAATAAAAAGAACTACAAACATAACGTTCATTAAATAATCAAAAGCAGTTTAATCTTAAATAACCAAACAAGAAAAAAAAACTTCAAAAACTCTAACTTTAAAGTTTCACTTGAATATATAACATTATTATATAATAAATTGAAAAAATACCCTTTTTTAAGGTATTATTATTGCCATTAAAAGTATCTCATTGTACTCCAAATTTTTTATATTTAGAAAGGAAAAAAAATTAAAGCTCATAAGGAATGCATGATGAGATTTTAAAGTGCTAACAAAAATAATTTTTAAATATAGAACATTATTACATATAAATATTAGGTAATAAAAATTTTAGGGGCCCCTTCAAATTTGGGGCTTTGTGCGACTGCACCTTTCGCTCCTCTTCATCACCCCCTCTGGTTATTGGTGATTGGATTATTACTTAAGTGTTGATTAACATGTTTATTTTCTATTGATGACATATCATTTAATTTGTAAATTTGGTTTAATATTTTGGTCTACTTAGCATTAACTTATAAATAATGGGTAGTGCTAATCACCCACACATTTTTACCTCCCACGCATCCTATTTGGTTTTTGTTCATTTATCTTTAATTCATTCGATCCGACGACCGAAAATTGAGAGGAGTGTGTACAAAGTACAAATAGGTGTGTTGATAGTACCACCCTAAATAATAGTATATACGGTGTGCAATCTATAATACGTAAGATCTCCTTAACAAATTTCACATCTAATTTTTTTTGCAATTATTCATGATTTATCGTACGCTTCGTAAATTAGCTATATTATTCATGACTCGAGCTTAGCGTCACCCCTTTTATCATTCAATCATATCATTTTCATTACACACCTAATATGTATCACTTATGAATGCAACTACAACCATACGAAACCGAACAAAATGTCACCCATTGTTCTTTTTCAAGTAATTACTTTCTATTTGTTTCAAAACTAATAGTATTAATCAAGCATCAAATGCCACTTTCATATTTTTTCTTACAATACCAAGCATCAAGCCATTAATAAAAGATCATTAAGTGTCATGTCAACATTAATCACATCATTACACATCAAATGACTAAATAATTAAGAATATAAAAATATCAACTCAAATTTTATCATAGCATAGTAAAATATATGTTTAACTCTATAATGTTTAAAAAAGAAAAGAAAAACTCTATAAGCCTATAAGCTCTGATCATCTATAAGATTTCGAAATTTACATTATATAGTTTACTATATAGAGACCCAACCAATTAAATTAAGTTTATTTAACTCGAGTCAATGACCCAATGCTGCCCATCAAGCTTAATCTTAAGTCCATAAACTCGAGCAAACAAAGTTACCGCCCTTCTTACACCTCTGTCATCTGCCGCCGTAAAATAATCATGCCCGAATATTATTCCGCCAGGACGTAAAATCCGGTAGGCCCGGTTAATATCGGACCATGCCGAAATAAAATCATGACCTGCATCCACTTCGATCAAGTCTCCAAACACGCCCATCTGGCAGAGCCAGTCAAGCCCCGCCCCGGTCGAAAACGGGACGGGCAAAACCGACTCCGTGGCGTTTACTGACACGACGTTCTGCATGAACTGGTAAAGCAGAAGAACGTCGCTATTTAGGAGGCTGATGTCGCTAAATCGACCGCGGAAGCCAGGCCAGCCACGGAAGTCGTCGAGGCAAAGGATTTGGGTAGTGTTGAGGCCGAATTGGTGGGTTAACTCCGCCATGTGGATGGCGGAGGCGCCGAGGAAGGTGCCAACTTCGATGATGGTTTGGGGTTTGAGTTTTTGGATGAGGTTTTGGAAAACGGCGCCTTTGGAGCCCCAGCCCTTGATGCGGCTATGGCGGAGGAGAGGAGCGGCGTGGGGAGGGGGGAAGTTGGTGAAGGGGGAGGTGGAGTTGAAGAGGTGGTCAAGGAGAGTTTGGCGGATGAGGTGAGGAGGGAGTGGGGGAGAGCAGTGAGTGGTGAGTAGGAAGTGGTCGAGGTTAGTCGGGAGGCTGGCTAGTTGGTAGAGTATGGGGGTGGAGGGAGGAAAAGAGGGGGGTGAGGAGGAGGTGGTGGGAGAAGAAGAGGAGGAGAGGTAGCCTAGGGTAAAGGAGATGAGGAGGAGGAGGAGGTAGGCGATGGGTTTGGCTAGCTTTAAGGGGGTGAATATTTTTTGGTGGTGGGGATGGTCTCCTCTCATGGCGGTGGGTGATTTTAGTAGATGGGCTAATGAGGGGAGGGGGAGGGGGGGGGGGAGGTGTGGGAGAGAGAGAGATAGAGAGAGAGAGAGAGAGAGATAGAGAGGGATTGAGGGGGACTGATTCGAACTTAAGACCAGGTGTTATGAAAATGACTGGAAAACGTCCTAAGACATGAATCTCCTTGCATGAGTTTATAAGTAAATTGAACTATTTTCCAATTAATTTTATGATTGGACTTGAACTTCTTTATAGTATCAAAGCATGTTGTCTAACGTGTGAAGCTCAACAGCCATATGTGCTTCACATCACCTCATTTGTCTTGTCCACGTGTTTGACTGGAAAATTCACTAGAGGATGCATGTTGACATGAAACCCACATTGATGAGAGGAGGAACCTTGCATGAGCTTATATGTTAGGCAAATCTCTATATTACTAATTATTTTTAGGGTGCTTTAGATTTTGGCCCTTACAACTCATTATTTCTAGACAAAAACCCATCTATCTTTAAAGATCCAGTTTAAGCCCAAATTTAAAATTTGCAAACATATGAGAACACTATTGACCTATTAATACAATTTATTTACACTCATGCCACTCATACTTTATGGTCCCTTTTCCAAATTCCTAAATTTATGCCAAATTAAAAGTAGTAGAAAAAGTGAAATAAAATGTAAAAAGTGTTTGCATTAACCGTATCCATGTCAAACTAGAAATGTAGTTTTTTTTTTTTTCGTGATATATTTTGTAGCAATTTTACCCATATTAATGGGTAGGTAAATTAGTTTGTTCCAATTATTTAAAAAAAAAAATACTATACCTATATTATATATTTTGAATCAAATAATATTCTTCTAACTTGTAGGTAAATTATTTTCTATGTATTGTTATATATGTTAGACACGTTTTGTTGTTGTATAAACATGAGTGGAACATAATATTGTTGATTTTATACATTAAACTGCATTTCTTTTATTATAGGTAAATTATTTTCCATGTACGAGTACTTATGTTAGGCACATTTTGTTGTTGGTACATACAATATTTTGTATCATTGTAAAGAAAGATATTACATTACACCCATGGTATAATTGTTGTAGGTAAATGATTGGAAATTAATTTGTAGTTAGGTAATGAACATTTTGAATCATTAGAAATGAACATTTCAAATAGTAAATTAATTTGTTCTAATTATATAAAAAAACAATTACACTACACCTAGTTATATTTAATTTTTCCAATTATTAAAAAAATTTATACTACACCCAACCAAATAACATTTATCTAACTTGTAGGTAAATTGTTAACCATGTATTTTTAGATATGTTAGGCACATTTTATTGTTGTATAAACATGGGTGTAACATAGTATTTTTAATACTATGCATCTAACTACATTTCTTCTTAATATAGGTAAATTATTTTCCATGTATTAGTACATATGTTAGGCACGTTTTGTTGTTGTTATAAACATTATTTTGCATCATTGTAAAAAAGAGATATTATATTACACCCATGGTAATTGTTGTAGGTAAATTAATGTGCATGTAGATAATGAAATACAATGTTCTAATATATTAATAAAAAAAAAAGGATAAATTCAAAAGTATTCAAGAGTAGGGTGAAAAAAACTGAATCGAATAGTTTTATGAAAATTCAAAGCCTTTCTAAAAAATTAATATGCAATAAAATTTTAACATTAATGTCTTTTTTTTTCTTGTTGCAAAATCATTTACTCTCTCCTTACAATTAATTGTCTACATCAAATATGTAATAGGGGTATTTTAGGCATGTGAAAAATGTAAAATGTGTGAAGTAATATGAAATTAATGAATTTACTTATGTGGATCCTAGTCATTGGGTTTTCTTTGAGTAAAAAAGTTATATAGGGTTTTATATGAAGAAAATTGAGTTGGAATGGCTAAAATCATATTTTCTGTTATTTTTATTGTGCAAACTCAATCTTTTCAGTCTTGACATAGATACGTACCGGGGTGAGAGACGAAGGTTTGAATTATAATGCATGAGTACCATGGGAAATTTAAAAAACTAACCATTTTTATCACATTAATTTGATGCTTACTTGATATACATTAAGGACATGTTTACCTAGACTTCCTATAGTTGTTAATTTCCCTTGTAATAACTAGCTAGCAACCAGAACACGATTTGTTTGTGCAATTAAATGTACTTTTTTATTTTTTATTGTTTAAGGTATAATTGGAACATCCAAAAGTAGATTATAGAATGTCGCATTTTTGTATATGTTGCTCGACCTTGTTAGACGAAGTCAACAATCAGTTACTATCCACGTAACTTGATGAGTTTTGGTGTGCTTAGAAATCTTATCCCGTTGGTCTCCCATGTTTGTAGGACTTGTTTTCAAATGTCTTTTGTAGTCAAATTGTTCGTAATCTATTTGTAATCTTTTCATCTTTCTGTTTTTAATTTTCAAATTCAAAGTTCCATGTAATTTGGGTTTTCAAACTCACGATGTAATCATGAAGTTATTATATATACATGCAACCCACAGTTGTTTGGGTAGGTAACTGAAGTGAAAAACCTGAGTTCGTAAGTTTTACATTGTTTCTAGAGCATTTTTTGTCTAACGACAATGACCCTAGACCTTTCTTTTTCCATCACTGCTTCCATGGCTCAAACCATTGACGCTGCTTCCCAAACTACCAACCCCACCCACCAAACAACCATTTCCATCCTTTTTCATCCTCCATGACTATACTTTAGTGCACATTAAGCTTGATAGGACCTACTACCCACTGGGGTTGCCCCAAATTCTTCCCATCATAAAGAGTAGGGCTTTAATGGGATATGCAGGACCAAATGATCCTTAGTTGGATCACTGGATCTTTGATTGCTTCTGTTTTGTCAGTGGTGGCAAGCAAACAGACTGCTCGAGCTATCTGGGAAGCTCTTGAGCAAAGGTATGCGTCTTCTTCACAAAATCGCATTTTGTTTTTATGAAATGAATTATTGCAAACCAAAAAGGGTGATCTATCTGTGAAGGATTACCTTGATCGCATGAATGCGATAACTGACAATCTTGCCTTAGCTGGGCTATCTGTGAATGATGATGAACTAGTTCAAATTATGTTGAACAATCTGGGGCCGATGTTTGAGATGACTGTTGGTGTTGCTCAAGCTCGTGACACACCCATTACTTATCCCACCCTTTTGGCATTACTATTGACTACAGAACACATAATAGTGGAGCGAAATCCTCATGTGATTGAGAATGTTCTGTTAATGCCTTCGTTGCTACAAGAGGCTGCAGTGGTGGACGAACTTTTGGCTCTGGAAGAGGTGGATTTCTACCAAACCGTGGTGTAGCTTTCAACCAATGAGGTTTTAACCCTCATATCAACATCATCCAGTGTAATACATCATGTAATACAGAAAAATTTGTTCCAAATGGTTATAGGATTATGTGTTGAATTTTAGCAAACCTAGGCATCCAACACTTGATTGCTACCAAAGGATGAATGGTGCATATGAAGGCAGAATTCCTACCAAGCGTTTCTCAGCAATGGCGTCATCCTATCCTATCACTCTCAACAAGCAACCAAATGGAACATGGCTGCTGGACACGGGTGCAAATGCACATATTACTCCATAAATCTAAAATTTGGTCAATCCAAAGGAATACAATGGTAATGATGGTGTAAGAGGTGTAGGTAATGATTCTGGCATCCCTATATCTCACTATGGTTCTAATAAATTATATACTAATGCTTGCTCATTTGACTTAAATAACATTCTTCATTGTCCCACTACCTCCACAAATATTATTTCTGCACATAGGTTTACTTTAGATAACCATTGCTACCTTATCATATTTCCACACTTTTTCCTTGTTAAGGACCTTAAGACCCGGAAGACGCTTTTCTGAGGAGGGAGATGTGAGAATGGGTTATACCCATTTCCAAGTGGCAGTGGACAAGTCAAATATCCAGTTTCATCATTTGTGGGAATTAGAGTCTTGATTCAAAAGTGGCATGCTCGACTTGGTCATCTTGCCAACTCAACAATAAAGTTTTTAATTTCAAATCAGTTGGTACCAATTCTTGGTACTTCACATGTAACTTTTTGTGAGTGGTGTCCTTTAAGAAAGAGTACTAGGTTAGTTTTAAATGTCTTTGAGTCTATTTCTCAATTTCCATTGCAACTTTATATTCAGATGTATGGTGTTCTCCAGTTATTTCCAATGAAGGTTTTCATTATTATTTGCTTTTTGTGGATGATTATTCTAGATATTCTTGGATTTTTCCCATGAAAAACAAATCTCAAGTCTTTGAAATTTTTGTCGAATTTAAAGCTAAAGTGGAAAAAATGTTTAATTTGTCAATCAAAACCCTTCAATGTGATGAATGTGGTGAATATAAAAGTCATGCTTTCCAAACTTTCTTGCACTCAATGGCATTTCTCAATAGTTTTCATGTACCAAACATCCTAAACAGAATGGAATTGTGGAACGAAAACATCAACATATTGTTGAAACAAGTATTGTTATGCTTTCACAATCTCAGGTGCCCACAAAATTTTGGTTATGCATGCTTGGCTGCCACATATATATTTAATAAATTGAATGCCAACTCGTGTTTTGTCTAATTTGTCACCCTATGAGAAACTTTTTCAAAGAAAAGCCAAATATGAAATGTTAAAAGTTTTTGGTTGTCGATGTTTTCCTTGGTTAATGCCATACGCACAAAATAAGCTTCAACAAAAGTCAAAATTTTGTGTTTACCTAGGGTATTCTTTGAATCATCACGGCTACAAATGCATGGACTTCACCACGAGATGTATATTTGTCTCGCCACGTCCTATTTGACGAGGACAATTTCCCTTTCAGAGACTCACATCTCCTTCAGAAAATGTTGACACACAAGGTACGATTCCCTCCCTGACATATTGTTTACGTTTCCCTTATCCCACTCTCCAAATCTACCTCAATTACCTAACTCTAGCCAACCTACTTTAGCCATGATCCAAGAAACCTCTTTTAATCCAAC